ATGCTGTTTGACTGCTGATTGAATTAGCCAGGAACTCGATGGGATTAATCATTTTTTTGAATCGGATTTTTTAAATGAAAGATTGGAACTGAAACCGAATCGATTCTAGAGTCAATTGAACCAATAACCTATAGTGACCCTATAGGATCTGATTGATGTGGAGAAAAGCGAATTACTTTAATAGCTGACATTTTACACATAAAACATAATAAACACATGACGGTTTTATCAACAGGAATACGAAATAAGGTTCCGTTTTAATGAATTGCATTAAACCCCTATTTAAATTACAGCTAAGAAATGCAAATACATTTTAGTATTACTAAATCCAGCATGCTGTGTGGGAGCCTGAAAAAGTAAATCAACTATTTTCATTGGTTGTTAAGGTCATTACGTAGCTGCCCCGGAAACTCGGTGTAGACTGGCCACGCCCCTTCTGTGAATGTCATGGCTGCGCGCAGCGCGAGTGAAACTACAGATGTGCTCAAATAGTAAAGCATTTTTTTTTTCTTGGGTTAATGTATATAATTTATTTTATGTCACATTTGATACATTTATTGTTTCTTTTGGGAACTCCAATTATAACCTCACAGTGTTATCTCTGGTAATATCACGTTATGTGCTCATCACCTTAGGAGCTAGCTTCGAAGAGTCACTTCAAATCATAAGCTATTTATTAACCTAACGTTTATGCATATTTAAGATTCTCTTCAGATGAACTGAGGAGGGCAGCAATACGCCTTTGAAGCGTCTAAGCTGCCGCTAACCACACAAGAAGAAGAAGACGACGAATATTTAAGATTCAGTATTATTTATATGTCATGTGAAATTTAGAGACACTGACATTATTGTCTGTAAGTTCACCGATGTGGGCTAAATTATTTCTGCGCCCCTCGTTTATCAACCGAGTTCATCTCACGTGGAGTCGCAGATTATTAGTCACAATGCAACTGAAAACGAAAGAGTTTGAGACCTTATTTACCGACGGGCTGGTTGGCATTGCTGGTAAGTTCACTTTATCTTACGTCATCATAATTTTTTCAAAAATACTGTGGTGGTACCATGGTGCAGTGATAGTAGGCTATACCACTTTTAATATGCAGTACCTGTGAGAAGTTTGGACACGCCTACTCATTCTTTGTTATTAGCATGTTCATATTATATAATATTACTTAAGTCATCAAAAATACAAAATGACACAAATGGAAATAAATCTATTTTACATTTTATTAAATCAGGCGTGTCCAAACCTCTGAATGATTACCATGTTAGTGTACCGTGCTATTTACTTTGTACTACCATTTGATATTGGTTTTGATAAATAGAAATATTTGAAAAGAACCAGTTTGAGCTGAGGATTGCAGGAGGTGCGGTCCGGGATCTTCTGTCAGGAAAACGGCCTGAAGATGTGGATTTTGCCACCACAGCCACTCCAGAGGAAATGAAGAGCATGTTCCAGGCAGCAGGAGTCAGGATGATTAACAACAAAGGAGAGAAACACGGGACCATTACTGCCAGGGTAAGGTGAAGCATACCGTTTTTATACTGATATTCATCAGACATTTTACTTGGGTGTTTTAATATGCTTTAATTCATATTATTGAGCTTCTGCAACGGGTTTAGGTGATCCGTTTTTAATTTGTGACAATTCTCCACATGATCTCAATGTTATATCCACAAACTGAAACATAAGGATTTATACATTTTTATAGCTTCATGACGAGAACTTTGAAGTGACCACGTTGCGAGTGGATGTACAGACTGATGGGCGGCACGCAGAGGTGGAGTTTACCACTGACTGGCAGAAGGATGCAGAGCGCAGAGATCTCACCATCAACTCCATGTTTCTTGGTAAAACATAAGGAGTTTCTAAAAGAATATTTCACCTGCATGAGCTTTGCTATTTAATATCTTCATGAATGAATTCTTCGTTTGTTAAATTTCATTTGGAATAATTAACATTTTTGTGTATTTGATTGGTCCTTTATTGTGTTTTTACAGGGCTGGATGGGACACTCTATGATTATTTCCAAGGATATGAGGACCTCAAGTACAGGAAAGTAAGGTTTGTCGGCAGCGCCTCACTACGGATCCAAGAGGACTACCTTCGAATTCTAAGATACTTCAGGTAATTATGTGCTATTACTGGGAAGAAATATATGCCTTTAGAATGATATAAGGGTGAATAAATTATAACAGAGTTATCCCTTTAAATTTTACAATATATATTTTTTACAATAACATTTTTCATTGAACATTATAAAGTAGAGTCCACTGTATAGCCTATAAATGGCTAATGTGGTTTATCTTAATTAAAAAAAAAAAAATTTGTCGGATTGCTCTGTAGATTTTATGGTCGGGTGGCAACTGAGCCTGAGAAACATGAACCCGAGACTCTGGAGGCAATAAGAGAGAATGGCAGAGGATTAGCAGGAATCTCAGGTGAGAGGATCTGGGTGGAGCTGAAGAAGATGCTGGTCGGAAACCATGCTGATCACCTGCTGGAGCTTGTCTATGAGTTGGGCCTTGCCCAGTACACAGGTGAGAAACAAAAAATAGTGATGCAAATATTTGTAAGGAAGTGTGGGTGAAAATCTAAAACTATAATGGACATTTACCTGTCACTAATTGGTTTCCATCCGAATTTATTATTCAAAATGCATTTAAAAATGCAATTCATATGGACAGTTTTCTATGATGAACATGCTTTAAATTTCTGAATTAAGGTTAACTTTGATATTTTTTTGTGGGGCATAAAAATGGTAATGTAACTATCTGGAGATGTAAAAAGGAAAAAGTGTTTTCAAATTAAATTATTGTTTTTTGTTTGTTTAATAAATGTAACGTTTATATATCAGAACAATTTTTATATTATAAATGTTCAGACTTGCTGTGTCTTTTCCTGCAGGTCTTCCAGCAGATGGCAATGTTGAGGAGATGAAGCAGATCTGGCAGAAGGCTCACGACAGCTCTCCTAAACCCATGACTATCCTCGCTGCTCTGTTCCGAAGCCAGGAGGATGTGGAGAAACTGGATCTGCGACTAAAACTATCCAGAGAGGAGAAAAACTTGGGCCTGTTCCTGGTCAAATACAGGCGAGATCTCGTTAAGGGACAGGACGAACATGACTGCATGAAACTGTACACAGATTTCATCATTGATGTATGTACTTTTCCTTCCCTTCTAAAGTTTAGTACAAAAAAATGTCATTACATCAGTTGCTGTACATTGATTACATTTAATTCAAAATTAAATCAGTGTACAATGTTTTAATTAAAATTAAATGAATTTCATATAAAGCATTTTGACATACAAAAAATGCATTTGTTAAACAAACATCAGTGAGACCCACTTTATCCCAATAATCAGTAAAACTGTCATTCTGGTGTTATTGAGTTTTGTGTACTACTGTAGTATTTATTAATATTTTGAATTGGCTTTTATTTTTATATTTTATGTTAAGAGTTAGTTTAAATTTGAGTCATTTTATGTGCTTTTGTCATTCAATTTTTTAAAAATATTTTGTTATTTTTATATTTTTTTTAATTTAAAATTTAGTAATTTTAGTACATATTTTAGAACTTCAGAACTTTTAGTTGGCAACATTTCTACATTCTAAGTTTTTCTATATATTTTATATGATATTTTCTATGTATTACATTTTTATTTTATTTCAGATTTATTTAAATTACCAAGAAAATATTTAAGTAGTCTTAGTTAATAATAACAACACTACGGAAGAGGATTAGGGCCAAGCAATAATAATAATAATAATAAAAAAAAAAAAAACATCTAGAGATTAAAGTCATTATAATACGAAATTAAACTCATTAAATTGCGAGAAAAAAAGCCATAATTAAATGTTGAGAATAAAGGGGTTAGTAGGCTATAGGTTTTTTTTTTACCAGTAAGGCAGCATCTATTTAAAAATTTAAATAAATAAAATCATTTACACTCAATGTTATTATTGCATCCTGTTAATGCACAACAATACTGAGGTGCAAATAGTATCTGTCACTATTTATAAGTATAAATAGCATCTAATTACTATTTACACTTATTGCAAAGATCTGCTACTGTTACATAGCGTAACTAGAATCGCCATTTTCACTTCGTGTAAATAGCACATCACTAAAAATGCTGCTGTTGTCACTTAAGAGTAAATAGAATATATCACTATTTTCACTTAATGTAAATAGCATCTGATGCGATGAAAAAAGGAAGAAGAGCGAGTTTGGCAAAAGGCGGAAAAAAACACTGGTCGACCACATACGCGAGCATTACTCTCTACGACCTGCACCACTGCAAATGCTGATCAACACTGTCCAACGAGATAAAATGAACATGACACGAGTGTGTTTATTCTCAGTATTTTATTTCAACTTTATTCTCGTAATTTAATGAGTTTATTCTCAAGATTTAATTTCAGAATTTTTCTCGAAACACAACTACTTTTTTCTTGAAATTTAACGAGTTTAATCTTGCATTATAATGACTTTAATCTCGAGATGGTTTTATTTATTTTTTTGTTTGTTATTGCTTGGCCCTAATCATCTTCCGTAGAACATATATATATATATATATATATATATATATATATATATATATATATAAAAATCAATATATAATTTTTTTTTTTCCATTGAAGTCTAGAGAGCCGGACTCCCAGAGTAAAGTACTGGAGCTGCTGAAGTATCAGGGAGAAAAGAAACTCTTAGTTGAGCTGAGCAGGTGGTCCATCCCTCGCTTCCCAGTGAGTGGCCATGACCTACGCAAACTGGGTTTTACCTCAGGTAAAGAGATCGGCACCATCCTTCAGAAGCTAAGGGACACATGGAAGAAGAGCCACTATCAGATGAGCAAAGAGGAACTCCTGGCCACCCTCAGCACATCCTGATGCCAGATAAGGAAACGCACTTGTGTCAGAAGTGCTTATGTCTCTGCATGCATGTGCAATAATGCATTATGAGTCTGTGTTGAGAAGGTGTACCTCCGTAGTGTCAATGGATATTGAGAGAAGGAACCATCAGGGCAGTCATATAACACTTTTCTTATTTTGTCCTATGCCTTTGCAGATACAATGCAACCAAAGGTTTAGGTATATCTATCGTTGCTATCTTGGGAATTTGTATTGGCTATTGGCTTTTTGGATGGTTGTCAGGGTGCAGAAAATGTCTTTGAGCATTAAAGTGCACATTTTCAGATTTAGAACGCTTTAACATATGGAGTATTTACCCCGTCGTTGAACCATGGGCATCATAAACTCTCTAAAATGTTTTCTTTTATTAATTATTCATGAGGTTCCCTAGTTTAACATAATATCATATTCATTCATTAATGTAATTGTTTGAACAAGGATGCATCTAAATTGAATGACGCAATGATGCAAAGTTCATTTTGTTTTTTGTTTATTTGATGTGGGATTTTGCCCTTTCAGCAGAGTGGTGTAATTATTATAGTGAAGGGAGTAATTTAGCTCTCCTGCAGAGAAGACATCTTATATGAAGCTGTAGCCATGGTTTCATTATGAGGAAAAATTATGTTCCTTTTGTCAACAGTTCATAGTTATTAGAAGGTTATGCAACCAGCTCTCCAGGTGTTTACTTTGAAATAAAGTAGCCCACATCACGTCTTACAGTGTCGTGCTGTCTTCCTTTAAAGTCTATGGATGTTTGGAGATTAAGCATTATTTTTTATATGTTTGTAAATTACTTCGGGATAGTTCACCCAAAAATGAAAATTGTCATAATTTACTCATCCTCATGTCGTTCCAAACCTGTATGAGTTGCTTTCTTATGTTGAACATAAAAGAAGATATTTTGAAGATTGCTGGTAATCAAACAGTTGGTGGTTGCCATTGACTTCCATAGTATTTTTTTTTCCTACTATGGAAGTCAATGGCAACCACCAACTGTTTGATTACCAGCAATCTTCAAAATATCTTCTTTTATGTTCAACATAAGAAAGCAACTCATACAGGGTTGGAACGACATGAGGATGAGTAAATGACAGAATTTTCATTTTTGGGTGAACGATCCCATTAATATGATAATGATTTCACATTGACATTAGGGGTAGGTTGTGTCATATCATTTTTGCATTGATTATTGTTGTTATACAGTCCCACAGCTTTTTAAGAGTCTGTCAATGTAAAGTTGTCAAATTTAAAGGGATAGGTTCACCAAAAAAGGACAAATCTGTCATCATTTAAAAATATGAAAAAATCATATATTAAAAAAACAAATGTTTCAGTGTGTGTGTGGATTTGTCTATAGAATTAAAGTTGGGTCCAATGTTGTTTAAACTCTATTGATTTTATATATACATTTTGGTTGAACTATCCAAATAATAATAAAATCTAGGATGGCCTGAGGGTGAGTAAATAAGCAAATTTTCATTTTTGGGTGAACTATTACTTATGACTCCCAAATCATAATTGGTGCAACTTATTGGTTTTAGCCACTTAAGTAATGAAATGGAGATAACCTATGTTGGCTACATTATAAATACAACTCAATCTGGAAGGTCCAGAGTAAATATTTATTAAGCAAAATTGACAGAGAGCGAATGTCTTTGTATAAAGAACATATAGTCCATATTTTCAGCTTGTGGATTTCTGAATACCATCTTATGCTCATAAGTATTTGTATGAAAGACCCTCCTCCATCCATCAGAGCAACATATAAAACCTCTAGTCTCCGCTCACCCTCACACGCGCTAAAGATGCGCAGACGCGTGAATACTGGCAGTCTTGTGCGCCCTGGGACAGTTAAACTGCACCAACTGAACTTGAACTAGTTTAAGACTCTTAAGATATTAAGAAAATGCCTGTGCTTACATTAAACTTAAGCAATGCAACTTTGGAGATAGAAGCCACCGGAGACGAACCCCGGAACGAGCATTTAGCTCAAATCGAGATCGCGCTGCTGAGCGTCATCTTTCTCTGCTCATCAGCTCTGAACTTTGGTCTGCTGCTGGTTTTGTGGAAGAAGAGACAGCAGATGTCCAGGATGCGCGTGTTTGTGACCCATCTCTGTTTGGCGGACCTGGTGGTCGCCTTTTTCCAGGTGTGTCCACAGCTGATGTGGGACATAACAGACCGTTTCATCGGTCCTGACCTCGTATGTCGTTTGGTCAAGTATCTGCAGGTCGTCGGCATGTTCGCCTCCACTTATATGATAGTTGTGATGACTGTTGACCGTTATCAGGCGATCTGCAACCCCATGGTGACTTTCCAGAGGCGACGCGCGCACTGGAACTTGCCCGTGTGCGTCGCGTGGCTCGTGTCGTTCGTCTTCAGCGTCCCGCAACTGTTTATTTTCTCCAGGGTTCAGATCGCCCCGGGTGTCTACGACTGCTGGGCAGAGTTCATTCAGCCGTGGGGACCTAAAGCGTACGTGACGTGGACGACGTTGGTGATATTTCTGGTGCCCATCGTAACTGTGACGGTGTGCCAGGTGCGCATCTGCCGCGCGCTGCAGATCAATCTGTACCTGAAGACCCAGCAGCAGAAGCAGCAGCAGCAGCAGCAGCAGCAGCAGGGGGGTGATGGTGGACACCCGCACCCTCTTTCCTCCAGAACCAGCAACGTGGCGTCGGTGTCTAAGTCTCGGATTAAGACCGTGAAGATGACGGTGGTGATCGTGCTTGCCTACACCGTGTGCTGGGCTCCGTTCTTCACCGTTCAGCTGTGGTCTGTGTGGGACGCGGACGCTCCGACTGAGAGTAAGAGAAAGTCTTCTAACAAACACTGTTGGGTCTTTAAGTGTTAATAAATAGCATTGTGCCGTCTTAATCTTCATGTAAAATGCTTAAGATATAGTATGCCTTTATAAAAATAATAGGGCTGATACAAGGTGACCAAGTTGTTTTTTTTTTTGTGTGGGGGGGGTATTATTTCTGTTTATCTCCTAACTTGATAAAATATAAAATAATGTGATGGAGGAGAATCTTGAATTTCACACCCTGAATGATGGTGTTTTATCATTATTATTTAAAGATTTGTAGACCTACATCATTTTTAATCAGGGTGAGAGTTATGATGTGATTTCTCCTTTCTAAACGGTTTCTAAGCGCGTTCTCTCATCACCACTGCTGCTCCGTGAATATGACACATCACAACACTATAAGACCGAGGCGTGTCCTGAGAGTCACATCGAATATTAACATGCCAGAAGTAGTGCTGCATGCATCTTCCACCAAATCATTTTAATGAACCAAAGAAATAAAAGCGAACTATCTGTATTATATATATAGTTTTTCTGAGCAAAAAATAAATATCATACATGTTTCCCTGGTTTACAGAAGAGACCCACTAAAATGTCATTCAGTGTAACAATCTTGTCAGGCATATTTACAACAAAAATCAATTTATGACATATTAAAAGACTAATTACTTTCACCCCAAATACTAATTAGTTGTAATTTTAAATTTTTGTTTTAATTTGCCACTATCCTAGGTTTTGTCCATTTGTCAGTAAGAATTTTTTACTCATTTAAAACACAATCAAATTGAATATGCTCCCTTATTCTTTTATATATTTTAATATGTACACGTCAGAATAAGCATGTTGTTTGAATTTTTACATAAACATTGTGTTACACTGAATGACAATGTAACATTATTTCAACCAAATTGACATTTTATTCTCCAAAAACTTATTTGAAACCTTAAAAGTAGACACTTTACTTACATTTAATGTGCTTTCTATGGACATAAAATCACTTTTGTCAATTTCTTTTGATGCAGACATCATAATGTCTTTGACCCATATATATATATAATCCTTTTTTTGTGTGTGTGAACAATCATTTGAGTACAATCATGTAGCATATTTCAAGTTACATACAATACTCAATGCAACACTCTAAAAAATGCTGGGTTGTTTCAACCCAATGTTGGGTCAAATATGGACTAACCCAACTGTTGGGTTAAAAAGTTAATTTAAAAATGTAACCAACCAACAGTTGAATTAGTCCATATTTGACCCAACATTGGGTTGAAACAATCCAGCATTTTTTAGAGTGAACCATGGAGTATCTTGTACAATTATGTACAATTACCTGGTATGTTTTAACTATAAATTATACTCAACCTTCATTACATTGTTTCAAAGTATAATCGGTTTTCCTTTTTACAAAGAATATAACATAAAAAAAGAAAGAAAAAAAAACTATATACATCCAGGGAGAGAACATGTGTCCTAATTCAATTCCATCCAGAATGACCTAAAATGACCTTCATTATGTACATAGATATTAAGCAGAATACATGCATATTTGCAAACATGTACATATACACACACAAGCATATATTATATTACATGTATCTTTCTATATACTGATCATCTTTTATTTATTTATAGCAACAAAATCAGACCTTCTTTCTGATACATATTCAACCCATTTCCTCCATTTCCCCAGAAAGGCATCCTTCTTTAAATTAACCAAAAAAGTGATCTTTTCCATTGTATAAATCTCTATGGTCACATCTCAACCATGGTCACATGGTCAATCATCTAAAGTTGGTCTCTCTTGTTTTAACCATTTACGTGGGATTGCTTTCTTACTGGCTGCCATAAGCACACCCATCAGGTATTTATTATCTGCTGTTACTATATCTGGACATACGCAGCCAAAATACAACACTTTGCTTTCTAAAGGTATGTCTCTTCTAAAAATACATTTAAGTGCCTCCTGTATTTCTTTCCAGTATTCTTGAATATGAAGGCATTCCCAAAATACATGATAATGGTTTGCTTCATTACATCCACAGTTTCGCCAACATTTTGAAGAAATATTACTATATTTGGCTGTTTGTACTGGTGTTTTAAAATATCTAATAATATTTTTCCAACAATATTCCTTCCAATTTAATGAACTAGTTGATTTCCATTTAAATTTCCATATATTAGACCACTCTTCATCAGTAAAGATTATTCCACATTCTGTCCTCCATTTCTCTTTGATATAGGTTGTAGAGTGTGTTTTCATATTTTCCAAACTCTTGTATATCTGGGAAACTATCTTATATCTAATACCTAATGTGTGTGCCTTCTTAAGTAGGTCTACCAATGGATTCAAATTATCTTAGATTTTT